GCGTCTCTGGTAAATTTTGGCCGTCGACCAGTGTAATATGACTCAAATACCTGTAAAATTAGCTAAATAAAAATTTCCTTAAAAGCAATTTTAATTCTTATTGAAATAACTAAAAAAATAACAAAACTGTAGTTTTAATTGAAAAAAAGAAAAAAATAAAGCTATAGTTTTTATTAAAATAACTATAAAAAAATTATTGGTAGATATTTTTTAGATTTGGTAGATTTTTCTCAAGTGGATGGTAAATATTTTTTTTCGTCAGTGGCAACCTGGTGCATAGGCTAAATACATACATACATATCGTCGCCTGGGTAAAAGATTGTCGTAAGCGCAGTTTTGACGATTTTTAGTTATAGATGCAGTAAATATTTTGAAATAAGGTCTTTCGATTGGTGTTATCTGTTTTTAGATATCTGCTTTAGTTTCCGAGATATTGACTACAATTTTTTCGATAATTTAGTAAAAATTTTGTTAGTGATGCAGTCTTATTAAATTGAGTATAAAGTGTCGTTAATTTAGTTGAAATTTCGATCTCATTTTGTTGTATATCATACAATGTGGGTGGCTGCCAAACTCGGACAAATAACGCTCTACGACAAAATTTTACTAAAGAAAATCCTTCATAAACTCAAAAGTAATTAACAATAAACATTAAATATTAAATAATTTAAGAATTTTATGAACTAGTAAAATTTTCAGAGACTGGAGAAATTTTATCCTCGCGTTTTTGAGAAATTGCTTCCAAACTTCAATCGCGATTTCCTAAAACCTGCCGAATTTAATATATGACAATCTTTTACCCAGGCGACGATATGTACATCAGTGTTGCCATTTTAGCCGTTTTCCGGCTAGATTTAGCCGGTTGCGATAGCAAACAGCCGGAGAAATTTCAATTTAGCCGGCAGCCGATTTGTTAGCCGTTTTGCAGAAAAAAATTGCCGTTTTTAGCCGATTTTGCTATTTGCCTTGTTTTCTTAAATTTCAAAAATGTATATATGTTTCCATTTTTGACTAAGCGACCCAAAATCTGTTAGAAATGGCTACTAACCTTATCGTGGAAAAAATTTTCATCTCAGGCAGGATTTTATGAAATTGGGCCGATTTCGTTTATTTTTATTTTAAACGAAGAAGGAGTTTTCTCCATAAATTGTTTGTTATACAGAACAGAATAAATATTACATGTAGATATTGTCTTCCCAGATAGCGCATATTCAATTCTGCCCAAGGCACATTAAACAGGTAGTATCAGTAGAGCAAAAACAAAATTTGCGTGTATTTTGTTGTTGCTTCTGGTATCGAAAGTGTCAAAAACTGTTCTGAATTGTTTCTTCTAAATCAAAGCGTGCCATGTGAAATACAAAAATTATAAAAAATAAAAAATTGAAATTGGAAAAAATAAAAATTGATGCAACTTTCTTTCCTAGTAAATTTGTTTGCTTCTCGAAGCATTGATCCATCCTTTGCAAGGCCCAGTAATCAGCGGTCGTGCTGCCGAGTTGGGCGAACGTTCCAAAAGCTGCTATTCAATCGCTTGTTTTGTATGGGAAAAGGTTTCACATGCAAATGGATTTTAACAATTCAGAATTTTTGTGAGAAAAAATTAAAAATATTTGGCATTTTCGAGACCAAACAATTTGAAAATAAATCAAATCAACTGCTCTACTGATACTACCTGTTCAATGTACCTTGATTCTGCCTAAATTACAAAACATCATTCAAATATCAAATATTCAAATATCAAATTGATATTTTCAAGCACTATATACACATACATATGTATTTTTTTAAACAAATTATTTTTCTGAGAACATATTTAAATTCCAAAAACCGAATGCCAACTTGAATTAAAGAACCAACACTAAAGTGAGTCAAAATGAAAATAAAAGAGCACAAATTTCTATGTAAAGCAAAACTCTCTGGGAATCCTACGAGACATCTGCCGGTCATATGACCGGTCATCTAAATGCAGTCTTTTGGCATCATATTTTACATCAGAATTGAAGGGATTTCTGAAAAATCTGACCAGTTCTTTTGTGTAACTGTAATTTTGCATCCCTTGTCAACATATGGCATCGGTTGATGTTAACTTAAGGTCGTTGTTTTACTGCCTTAAAATTGAAGGGAAATTTGTACAGCGTTTTTTATGTGTATTGGTTTCTATTTGAGTGTATTGAGAATCGGTCAGTCTGAAAAGGCCTTGTAGGGAAGACAATAGGTTTGTTCGTCGAAAATCCAGCGAGAATTATCACTCAAAATATCAGATAGTAAGAAAAAATGCTCCCAAAATTTCTCTCATGTAGAGAAACTTGTAATTTTCTGTACGAACGAAAATTTGCAAGTTTTTCTGCCAGCTAGTGTACACGGTTGCATTTCAAACAAAAGAAATTTGTATAGAATTTTATATCTTGTCAGTCCGACTTTCTTCAACATACGTTTGAATTTCTTCGTCGGGTTTACTATATCGACTCTGGTTGAGATTGCATTCCGATTAAGAATACAGTTTTTTTTGCCGAGTACCTTGCAAATCATTGGAATTAACTAAATTAATTAAGTAAACAAGTATTAACTTACATTTTTCGTTTTAAAATCGCTCCAACTTGTAAATTTTTAAATTTAACGAACTTGTTTATTCAAATTATCGTCGACAAAAAATCCAACCATGTGCCACAATCATATGTTTTTCGTGATTGCAAATTCTTGCTGGCAAATTTTTTTTCGGCTCGAATTTGTAACTTCTCTCCAAGAAATAGTATTTTTACTCGTGATTTATTTAAATAAAACATGTGAAATTTAGTTGAAACATGTTCGCCGTTTTTAGCCGGTTTTATTTGCCAATTAAGCCGGTTCGCCCAAAAAGTTCTGGCAACACTGATGTACATACACTAACAAGAGTACCACCAGAGCTGCCAACTATCATTGGCTATGAGGCGCCATATTAAGGATAAAAAAGTGCCAAAATGTGCCAAATAGAAAATAAAAGTGCCAAAAATGATGCCATCCTTTTAAGTCCTTCCGATTTAGCAATAAAAAAGAACCAAATTTCTAAAACAAAAGTGCAATGCCAAAATAAGATTAACCAGTTGGATAATCTTTAAAAATTAGAAAATTTTAGTTGAGAAAAAGAAGTACACGCGAAGGATTTCACAAAAATGTATTAAAATATTACTATTTTTGAAAAGTACTAAGTACTTTTGGTACTAAGTGCCAAATTGGAAAATTAAGTCCTATATGTGGTGAAATAGGGCCAAAAATGGCATGGTTTGAGTCAAGTGGGCAGCCCTGAGTACCACCAAATTGACAGTTTGTCGCCTAAAATGATGTGGCATTTTGCAAGTTGCTTACGATAAGTTAAGTTTTAACTAACCGCCAACACAGTTTCTCATATAACAGGTTGGCCAAAATATTAAGTTAAGTTACGGAAATTAAGTCTAGACAAACTTAGCTTTAAGCTAGGGTCTACGCTAATAACTCGCTTACGCATTAACACATTCTTGTCCATCTTCTCCGAATTGTCAATGCTGCGTGTACTTCTCCCCATAACTTTCACCGACCTTTCACCGAGTATCAATTCGCGCACATGGCCAAAATCAGAAAATATTGGGGAGAAAATGCAAACCACGCGAGCTGTTGACGCTGTAAATCTCATTTTGCAGAAATGCAGAATGCGAACAAGCACTTAACATGTATGTAAATATATATGCATAAACATACAAATGCGTATTGTACTCATGCACATGCATGTAACAATGATTAGAGGGTGGAGTAGTAGGGGTGAGTAGTTCCGGAAAGGAACGTGAGCGCCACAGCGGGGTAGTAACAATTTTGCCAAAGCCAAAGCAGATAATGCGAACCGAACACAAAAAATTTTCTTTGCTAATTCAAAGCATTAAAAGGTATGAATATGTACTAACAAAGGAAAGGAAAATAAAATAAAGCGCACCCGAAACAGTACTGCAATGCGTTTGGCGATTTGGGTTCAAAATAAATAACCACGTAGCAAAATGCGAGCGAGTGTGAGTAAAGAAATTCTGTTGCGAAGAGCGGCGCAAGCAACTAGACGAATGTTAGGGGAAACGCGCAGAAGAGCAGTAGCGGTTTGAGACATTTATGCACACCCGATTAGGAGAACTAAGAAAATGAAAAGGGAAAAAGCCGCGGCAGAGCAAAGCGAAATTATTTGCGGCGGCAACGATTACTTGTGGCGAAAAGTAAATATTGAAACGAAACGGTAAATGGAAAAGAAGCGGAGACGTATGCGCACTTGAATCAATAAACAGCCAGAAGAAGAAACCGATGAGAAAATGTAATGAGATAACAACAAAAGGCCACCGATTACCAGAGCGAAACACAACAGCGGACGGCAGCAGCAGCAGGCAGCGAGCAAAAGGCAATCGAGCGAATTGAGGCAAATAGCGATGGGAGCACGAAAACGCAAAGGCCAGCATTTGGCAGAACAACTTGCTGTAAAGTGACTTGACGTAGCCAACCGCTAGCGCAGTTGCAATTGAGTTGTTGACCGTGTCGGACTTTTAAATCGAATAGTCTCTTGCCTGTTTTATAAATATATAAGAAAATATCAAGCCAAAAAAAGTCAAAAAGCTGCAAGGAATATTAATTAGGAAACGGGTATATTTACTTTCCACTTTTTTTCTAAAATCGTTTTATAACTAGTTTTTCTTTTAAGTTTTTTCTTATGTTAAAAGTTAATATTGCATAAATTTGATCGAAATTGTATAAGAAAAAGTAAACCGATTAAAAATTGATATTTTCAACTGGAATATCGCGAATTCGCCTCGCCCCAACTTTTGGCTCTACTCTTGTTCACTGCTGCGAGTACGTGTGAATGTGTTGATGTGGCTAGCTGGCTGACAAAAGCGAATTTGCTGCAAAATTCAAAAGTACAAAAAAAAGAAAGGAAATAAAGAATCGCGGGTTTCAGTTACCGCAAGGAATGCGACCTTATAGCCGCGAGTATACTAGTTTTTGGAGTTTGGCGAACGCCCATATACTAATTGGATTGTTTGAGAGGAACTGAAAGCAATATTTCCGGAACACGTTTTTCTAAAAAAAAATGCGTTATTGATAAGTTAATAAAGTGGATCACTATTAGAAAAATATTACTACACGGTTTCATGTAAATTAACGTTTAAATAATAAAAATTACGTTTTTTAAAAGAGTAATTTTTCAACATACTTAAAACGTGAATTTAAACGCGAATTAAAAAAAAATTATATATTTCAATTAAGAAATTTGTTAAATATCAGCATGCGCTACGAAATATATTATTTTAAATTAAAAATGTTAAAAGTAATGCGGGAACAACTCGAAAAAGTATCATTCTCCACATCTTGTATTGGTTTTGATTTTCCAGGCAAAGGATAACTATTTAGAAACCACTCCAGCAACAGTAGTAGCAGCATCGCCACGGTGACAGCGACGGAAGCAATCAGCAATAGCAGATAGTTATTAATTTTTAAATTCCACCTTTAACCAACTAACAAAAACACAACAGCAGAAATGGTAAGTTATTATGTACATGCAAATGTTTTAATTATCAGGGATTGGTAAATTACATACAATTTTTGATTTGGTGAGCGCTATATATATCACGTATATGTGCATACATACGTACAGACCCGGACAAAAGTATTCGCACATACACATTGTATGCAAATTTTTTTTTGTTACAGTATTTTTTTTTTTAATATAGTTTATACTTCAATTCAATCAGCTATAAAACTGCATACATACTTGAATTTCTCTAAAAAATCTAATTAGAAACTCCCAAATTTATACTCAATTTTTTTTTTAATTTTCCTGAGCTTTGCATAAGGTTTAGAGATTTTAAGTTTGTTCCACAAACTACTCGAAGTCCCTTCGAGTTAAACATATGCGTTCCTCAAGTAAGTTTTAGAGTTTATTTTATACGCCGACAGTTTGAACTTTGGTCGAGTTTTTCTACAAGTAGCTTGTGGAACAAACCTTTTATTTTAANGCATAAGGTTTAGAGATTTTAAGTTTGTTCCACAAACCAGTTTGAACTTTGGTCGAGTTTTTCTACAAGTAGCTTGTGGAACAAACCTTTTATTTTAATATAAAATTATAGAAGTAAATAAAAACCTTTGCCCATATTGCGAAATATTCTTAGTGGCAATACTTTTGTCCGGCACTGTATGTACATATGTATATATATGCCTTAACTGTCATAGGGATGGGTAAACGCGATATTCGAAGTTTCGATATTCGACTTTTAATCGAATTTTAGCTCCAAAATGGCGAATTTTTTAAATCGAACTTTNGCGATATTCGAAGTTTCGATATTCGACTTTTAATCGAATTTTAGCTCCAAAATGGTGAATTTTTTAAATCGAACTTTGTGTTGCTATAATTCGGATAAAATCGAATTTTTCTAGAAAAAATCGAATTTCATCTTTATTTCCAAAAAATCAACTCAACTTTTTTTCTTTCTGACTAAATTTGCCATCACTGTGTGTGGCACTCCATTTGTCTTAGGGATTCAAGTAAAACATTGTTTTCGATATGATGCATCGAAACAAAAAATCTGTGCCTAGAAGGAAGAGTTATTCCAAACTCAATTTAAAAATTTTTTTTGTTAAAAACCTTTTTTTTGTTAATTTTTTTTTTGAATTNATGTGTGGCACTCCATTTGTCTTAGGGATTCAAGTAAAAAGATACCTACATTGTTTTCGATATGATGCATCGAAACAATAAATCTGTGCCTAGAAGGAACAGTTATTCCAAACTCAATTTTAAAATTTTTTTTGTTAAAAACCTTTTTTTTGTTAATTTTTTTTTTGAATTTTTAGAGGCTTTTATGTTGGTAGCATGAAGCTTTTTCCTGAGAAGACCCCTAGTAAAATTTTCCGGAGAATATTTTTTTAGAATTCATCAATCTACTAACAATCTGCCAAATTTGCTTTTTGCGAGATTTCTTGAAGTAAGGGTCAAAGTGATCCTTTTAGGCGGGAGCTTATGGTTTAAAAAGTTCTATGAAAATATTTCCCAAGAAATTTTAATATATACATATGTCTTAACCATACCTACAACTGCCAACTAACGAAGTAAAGAGCTTGGTATGAAGCACCCTTTCTATATTCGAATGGGTTTACTTGTACTTTTCATTTAGGGGCTGTCCATATATTACGTAAGGGAGTTTTCACCTGTTTTCACAGTCCACTGAAATTTCTTCTTGATTTACCCACGCAATAATATCCTTTGTTTCATTTTCTGTGAGACACATATGAGCTCTCGCCCGCGTCGTGAAATTATCCTCTTTGCTCTTCGACGCCGAGGCTCAGAAAAGATCAAGTGAAGCTTTTTGTGAATGCATATTGCCTTCTTTGATGCAAAGTACTTACCACATACATTGCATATTCTCTCCTCAAGTTGGTCATTCACTGAGGGACAAAAAAATCATAAGGTATACTTTTGTAAGTGCACGGAATACCCTGCAAAAATCGTTGGACCATGTACTCTATTTGTGGTAAATTGGAGTACTTACAAAAGTGTTCCTCTGTCATGCTGTAGCGGACCAACTCGTGTCTCTGCGCCAGCTTATTGTTTGTTATCCGATCACTGCTCGTGTTTTAACGAAACGTGATTGAAGTTGAGCATTTGAAAGCACATTTGCATGTCTGGCTGTAGCTGAACGTGTAGAGATGCTCGCTGTTAGTTCTTAGCTCCCAGCATGTTCGGGTTCGAATACCGTCAGAGCCAACATGTAATTTTTAATTTTTGTCTTGGTTTTTATTAATTTCGAAAAAGCATTTGAGAAGTGAAGAACAAAAGCGTGTACAAACGAAAAAATATAACAACAATGCCAATTGTTAATATGTTGGAGTAGTTTTGTGCTACTCTGATGTAATGCAGGGATGGAGTATATGGTCCTGCCCTAGGACATCGCAATGTTAATTGGACCATATTTTTTATATGAATTGTGGTTAATTTTGGAGTACTCTTTGGTCCTTAGGGAGTACTCTTTACACGCATGCATGGAGTAGTCGCGATTTTTGCAGGGTAGTCACTTTCAGTGCCATTCTTTGGAATAATGGTATGAAATGATAATTTTCTTGTACTTCTGTCGGAGAAGGCCAACATTGATTGACAACGAAGAGGAATAGGTGGTGGACAAAAACCGGTTTGATGAATATCTCGAAGATTACCCCGCATTGGACCGCAGCATGCCATATCAACACATTTTGATATATGCATGAATGTGATTTTTTTTAGAAAAATAGAAAAATTAAAGCAAAAGTTGTAAAAAATTGTAATATCCTCCGTATTTAATGTATATTTTTCATTTCAATGCAATTTAGTACTTTAATTGGGTGAATTTTCGTTTTTTATAAAGAATAATTTTGAATAAGAATACAACAAAAATAAGAAAAAGTAAGAAAATTCTAGACCCGCTCTCCCCCACAAAGGTCTTACGTAATATATGGACAGCCCCTTATTAGCATTGACGCGACAACTCCGGCTACGGTGTTAACGCAATAGTGCCACGAAGCGCAGTGTTAATCAACACTGTACTTTAGGTAAGGTTGTCCTAAACGTATGTATGTGCATACCTACATATTTTGTTTACTGGGTCAATATTTACTTTTATACATATGTACGTACAAAAAAAACGATACAGCAAGTCAAGCTTTGAATCTCCATTGCATTTTTAACCGACTTCCAAAAAAGGAGTAGGTTATCAGT